TTAAAATCAAAGAGAATGATGATGTATGCGTATTTCTTAGCTACAGGTACAGTACTGGATTGACAAGCTTTTTCCCTCTCCATTCTGTCAAAAGAACCCTCTGTGAACCCAGAAAACACATTCACTGAGCAGTACATTCATGATAGGGCTTTGTAGGCACAGACTAGATACACTGCTTAAAAAGGTGCTCAGCTGTTTTCAGAAATTAACTTTCTGGAACTGTTCCCCAAGAGGCTTTCCACAGTAGTATACAAAACCATGATTTATCCCAGAAGAACTGTGATTTACCTTTCAGCTAACACTTCACTTAGTAGTAAAATATCAGTGATAGGTCTTTGCGTGTACTGAGAGCTCCCAGTTCACACAGTTAAATAAAAAATGTCCCCCTGCTCAAAGCCACTGATAACTTGTTATTATTTGACCAACACATTTGTGGAGATGAGCCAGAGAGTGAGATGTCTCATCCATGATTAACCATTTTTTTCTTTTGGAAGTATATAAGTATTAGGACAAAGAGCAACGAATTCTCTGTCCTCCTCTTGGTCAATGAAACTTCAACTACAAAATGCAAAATAAAACAGGAAAGATAATTCATTAAAAAGCCTGATGCATGTATGTGTACATGAAGTACAAGAAGCTGTATATGTGACATACTTGAGATGACAGGTGCAATAGTAATTTACCCAGGATCATGGGATGTTTGCCACAGGCCTGGTGGCCAGCTTTGCCTGTTCTTGTAAAAAGATGTGTGGCATGAGAAAACAGGCTGAAATTTCAAGAACGGAGTGCTTCAATTTAGGTGTAAGAGATGACTATTTACTGTCTGAACATGACATACAATAGTCCAACCAAAAAGTTTCAGAAACTGAGCTTAGGACAACCCTGTTGATATAAGAAGAAGCAGTACAGATGGTGAATATTTTAATCTCCTATTCAGAACTCTCTGGTACTCGAAGTCAAATGGCATCCTTAAAGATCTATAAAGTAACTACGGTCATTTTGGTTCATTATCACAGAATTTTCTGCTCTATGCAGTTCACGCATTTAACTCAGTATTTATATGTGCATGCTTACACATTTGCATAATCCTGTATTATTTTTTCTTTTATTAAAAGAAGCAGCAGCTAAAAGTCTGCTCGACTCACATAGGCCTTGTTCAGTCATAAAAAAATCCAACAGCTTCTAGTTTTCTGTTCAGAAATAGCTATAGTAGGGGAGCCAGTCTAATTAGATAAAAAAAATAGCTTTGAGACTCTATCCAGCAGTACCCTATCTTTAAGGATGTTCTTAAACTGGGAGAAGTCTCATTCTGACTACTTTTTTTCTTTTAGTGAATCAATTTCTGTGAACAAACCCAGTGGGAATAATAATGGAAGGTTTCACCTTGGTTTAGTACAATATAGTAGAAATATCTCCAGAAAAGAATAGAATATTTTCAAATGAAACTTTTCAGTGTTTGCGGCATGTAGAATATAATTAACTCAATAACACTAGTTGAATTAAATTGTATTAATGAAATAATGTGTTATTCCAAACCTGTAAATACCACAGATGGTGACATGTTCCAGCAGTTCAAAGCATCATTATCACAGAAGAAAATGTGATATCAGGATGGAAAATGAATTATCGGAGTGGGAGAGGATACTAAGTGTTGCTGCTTTTATATTTAGGAGCCCCTCAGCTGGTGAAGGTAATGCGTTGAGTATCTGCATCAACAGATAAGACTGTCTTAAACTTGAAGTTTGAGTTTTCAATACTGTATTTTTGTCTTCAAATGGAGGAACATTTGACTTGAAATAAAAAGTGAGGCTTACCATGACAGGCTGTAGTTTACTTGCTTTGTTATTTGAAAATTCTGTGTAGTGATAAGTTTGAGACCTACAGTACTTTATCTGAGTTATTATTCTCCGGTACACTCAGGGTAACCTCAGTAAAACTAAATGGAGGGGAATGACCTAAAGAAGTAATAATAATACTTTGAGCTTTTTAAAGAACACTTCAGAGGAATTAAAAGAACATAAGATGGTTTTCACATCATGTGGAGGTTTATAAAGGTCAAATCAGAATTCAGCTCTCACAATAGAGTTAAAGAAAAGTAACTTTGCAAAGGCTTTGGACTGAAACCCAGAAACCATGTAAAAATATGATAGAGCTGAGACGTAGCAAAGGAAATAAATAAATAAATAAATAAACAAACAAACAAGCAGCTTTTCCTAAAGTACTATACAGAAGGACTATTACAATTATGCTAGTACTGCATTTACAAGCCTGTCTGATCAAAGCAGCAAACCTGGCTCTGAATACTCCTGCAGCCAGTACACAGTCCTCCTTACTTCCATTTATAGCAAGAACATGGTAAAAATATGCATACATCTAATCTATCAGTGTATATTCAGCACTGTTTCTGAAAGGGCAGGATGTTTACTAACCAGTCATTTCAGCTAAAGAAAAGAGGCCTGTGAGTTTCATGAACAGTATCAGAAAATTAAAATCTGTATTTCCCAAGAAGCTCAGAACGCAACTCTGTAGCTCTCATCTGTCTCATAGGAAGCAAAAAGCTTCAGCAGCAAGTCTTTCTTCACTATCACAGCCATACAGGTCTGCACAGAGGAGTCCTAGGCTAAAATACATCCTTGTAACCGTCTTCAGTGCTTGAAGGAGTTCCTTCTCTGACTGTTTGCACTCTCCCTAGAAACTGATCCTTTCAATAACTAAGCAACAAGTAGCTGTAGCATGAATTATAAAGATGAAATGGGATCTTACCGAAAAGAAAGGAGTACGTAACAATTCTTGTACTTGATTCCAGGTCTAGTAGGCATTAAATAAATATTCTTAAATCACTCTTCTCTCCTTACATCATGTATTAATTTTCTGCAAACGTGTATAAACATACATGACCTAAATGATGTTCTTCTTTGTCTAAATGTAGAAGTGAATTACTGCTAATAAAATGTACCTCAGATTAAATTATGCAAACTGTTACCATATGTATATATATATATATGTATGTATATCATGTATATAGATATCTATTTTAAAACAGACCGCAGTGAATAAGTTTTGCTTGACACAGACCTATGGTTTGGCAAATACTGATGTCGTGCTGTTCTCAAGCAAGCCGGTATGAGAAGTATTTCTAAGGATAAAATAGATTCCTTGCAGTCCAAAGGACGACAGTGTTAAAGGTAAAAGTTGCGTGCAATTCGTCCTCATTTTGGTTACCTACCTCCACCTAGTGACCAGAAATGGTATACCTATTAACTCTACGATAATCCATGATTCAATTGTTTGTGTGAACAAAACTCAGAACTCTGTTCTTAGGACTTTTTAAATGGTGAAGGATAACAAGGAACACACACAAACAGAACAAACTGTCTCCAGCTCTTTCTGAGAAACAGGAATGCATTTGGACATGAAGATAACACAAATGTGCAGAGGCAATGCCTCTAACCTGCACCACTGCTGCTGACTGTATCTGTTGTGCTCAGCTAAAGCAGGGTAATCTTACCAGCTTCCTGCAGCATATTTAATTGAGCCACACAAGCAGTTACTGGCGTTCTAGTGTGGTTCTTTTCAAAAGGGTTTCAGCACTCTTAGTGCCCCGGATGCTTCTTAAGAAAATGTTGCCTTCTAGTAAGCAGGAGTCTCGTAACTATGTTGCCTAGACTGTGGCCTATTATACCTCCAATACATGGATAGATTACATAGTTTTTGGCCAGGTTGGACCATAGTGTTGGCAGTATCATTTCCATGTTGTCTGGTGGGACACACTTACAAGAAGGACAAATAATGAAATCACAAGCTTTGCTTGACAGTTTCTGATTCGCTCTTTTCCAGCTTCTAGGCAATATGCAATTAAACACATGCCTTCTTGAAATGAATTTGTATTAATAGAAATAATGTCATTGAGTGAATCATATTTCAAAATACAGAGGAATAGCAGTAGAGTGAACAGTGGCAAAGCAGCAGCAAAGAACGCAAAACTGCTGTTGTGATCAGATGCCTTTCAGTCGAAATCACTGTTGCTCCTTCAAAAAAGTACAGACAGAATTCAGTCCTCTGTAAACAGCAAGCCAGGAGACAGTGAAGCCTGAGAAAAGATGGGATAAGAGGAGATGGATTAGATTAATAAAGTGCATTTCAAAGAAGAAGAAATACATCCTTTTGAGATGGGAACTGTACTCTAAGAAGAGACAATCATTGCAGTGCCTGAAATACCACAAGCAACTTCCAGTTTCTGGCAGATTGCATGTGGTAGTCACAGATGTCACCAGGGGTCAACAATCAGCCTTGATGAAAATACGTCTTTCTGGTTGGGGACATGGATGCTGAAAACATCCAGGGCAGTGTCTACAATGCAACTTATTTAAGATAAATCATAAGCACAAATAGTGCTTGAGATAAAAATCCATCCAGAAGTGGTCTTTTACAGGTATCCCCCTGAAGTTTATTTTACAACAAATAACACAGGAAGACTTTTGAACCACAGGAGGGTATGCTCAGAACGCTTAGTAATTTTAGAATAGTAATATTTTAAGTCCATAGTTTAATTCTCTGTAAATATTACAGGGCTGCTTCTCAAGTAATGCCTCCTACATATATATATATATATATATGCTTTTTTATTACGTTTGTGGAAGAACACATAACGTTTATATGACTGTTAAAAGAAACAAACACTGAAATTGAAGAAATGAGTGCCCCACACGCAGCTCTGCCAGAGCGCTGTGCTTGGTGGGGCCACCTGTGAGGCGGCTCTGCCCTGAGGAGATGGGCAGTACCTGCGAGGAGCCCGTGCACTCAGGTAACCCCGGCCGTGACCTTCAGGTGACCCCGCCCCGGTCGCCTTCAGCGAGAAAGGGCGCGAACGATGAGGCGGGAAGCAAAAGCGGCGGGAAGCAAAAACGGCGGGAAAAGCGAGAGGCGTTCCGGGCTCCTATTGGCTGGCGGGCGGCGGGAACACCTATATAAGACACTCGGGCGCAACAGGTGTGTGCCTCAGCGTGTGAGAAGAATCTGTGTGCTCCAAGAGGAAGGCGGCAAACGACATCTATGGACCGAGCTGCGGCGGAGCTGGTAGGATGGGCAGGGACGGAGGCGGGGCGGAGGCTGGGCGGGCTCCGAGCGGGCTCCTGGACAACGGCAATGGTGGGGATGCTCCGGAGGCCGGCACTGAGCGCGCTCTGAGCGGAACTAGTCGGAGGGGCGAGGGGCTGGATCGGAGGCGAGAGCAGGACGCGACACGAGCCGGGGGGCCGGGCCGGAGCCGGGGGGCCGGGCGAACTGACTCGCGGTAGAAGATGCTACAGGACAACGGCAAGCAGCAATAATAAAGTAAAAATATCTCGATATTGTTGTAATGACTTCGAGGAATTGTATCTCCACATCTCGGTGAACTCGTGGTGGGAACTGGGGGAGCACAAATAGAGGGAGACACTGACATAAGAGAGGGGAAGCACTTGAGTAGTGTACTAGTGTTTAAGAAGGTTAATGTAGTGAAGCTCTATCGTAAAAAAAGAGGATGCCCAGAGAAAGAGTAAGCCTCAATGTGAAATACAGTTTGTTACTTTAAGGCAATCCATAGCAGTGGATGTTTGGAGTTGGCAAAAAAGAAAACATGAACTTAAGGGAGAGTGAGTATCAAATGAGCAAGAAAAGAAAAGTAGTGATGAGAAAGGGTATAGAGAGAAACTGCCCACAAAAGCACCTCTGCATCACCATGGGCACAGTCAATCTTCAGGAGAGCCAAGCTCCCATGATGACTCACCACAATAAATGCAGTACAATACATAGTTGCAATGAGACCTGGAGTTGTAGTAAATAAAGCACAGTTTCCAGTACCCTGTAAGCAGGGAAGCTGACACTTTGGTCACTGCTTTTGGTGTGCCCAGCTTCATTTGCCCAGTCTGCCCGCCACTGTGACCCTCCGCAGCACCAGCTGGAGCTCCGCAGCGCATTAGCATGGGTGAGAAAGCTGTTCTGTGTTTGTGTTTGTTTTGTTTTTTTTTTGGTTTGGTTGTTTTTTTGTTGTGTGTTGTGTTGGTGTTTTTTTTTCTGGTTTGTGGATTTTTTTTTTATTTTTATTTTTTTTGGCTGAGATGACTTGGGAAGGGGGGGGATGTAAAGGCTTCTGTGGATGGGATGTAGTGTGCTGAGCTCCCTCTGGATGTTGGGTTTCCTGTTTTCCTTGGGTGGTGGGGTTGTAGCTCCTCAGGTCTAATGGGACCCTTCATTTTTCAGGAGCTGCTGCAGAAG